CAGGTTGTTCCTGATACCTGTGGTAACGCCCTGGAAACTAGCGCGGTATCTCTAAATGACAGCAGTTTCCACACAGATATGCAATTGCAAGTCTTAAACCCTCTATTTATGCCACTAATAGCTCCTCTCTGACCAACATGAATCTAAAGCACGGCTTAAACTATCAGACATGCTCAATTCATACAGAATTGCCTGCAGCTGCTAAATTTTTCTAGGAGTTCATAAAATGCTTAGACAAATTTGTGGAAGAAAAATCCATTAAGGGCTGTAAAGTACCGAGGGGTGCTCCCGAGAGGTTGGAGAGCACACTAAGGGAACAGCAGCACGCGTCTGCCTCGTGCTCTTGCCCTTTCTGTGGTACCCACTCCTGACCACTGCCAGGAAGACGATGCAGCTCAGGGGATCAAGCACTGTTACCACTGCCATTTACAGCACAAGCCCTGCTCACCGCCTTGGCTGTGGAAAAGGAGTTTTACAAAAATAAGGACCTGTTTAAGCTTTCACAGGTCCTAGGCTAACAGTTCTGGTTAAAAAGTAGTTGTGAATATAAGAATATAAGCAAGCTGCCCCCCCCCCCTCCTTGAAGATGCTGTCATCTTCTCACCTTGCTTCCTGGTGTTCTCTTCCAAGTTTGCTGTCCTTCGGTTTCAAGAGCACATGGCTGTTAACGTAAGATTACAAGAAGCTTTACATCACAGCTTTCCCTATCCAAACTGCACTCGGCTGCTTTTCAAAGGCTGGTACATCCTGAGTGCTAAGGAAAACCCCTTCTCCTTTGATCCCTACAACTTCAGGTGTCAAAGCCTGCACAGTCAGAGTGAGGGTCATGGCTCTCAGCACACCTCCCTGCTCCTGACAGCTCTCTAGCTACTCCAAGAGTTTCATGTTGTTTTTTTTTTTTGGTCAAGGAAGAACCTGTCCCTGCTTCCCAGGCAGCAGCGTGGGTTGCCAGGTCCTGTCCTCCAACATCTTTGCTCAGATATCATTGCTGCACCACAGGACGCATCTTGTACCTCTGTTTTGGCCTCAGGCATGCAGGCTCCTCGAGGCATTAGACACACTAATTCCTTCTCTTTTAGCAAGCACATCCAGATCTTTCTTGCCCTCTTCCCCAAAAGGCTTGAAAATATCATACAGGTCACGGAGCTGGATTGAACACTGGTTTCTAGCTTTTCAAACAGAAAACAGGCAAGGGGCTTACCTGAAAACACAGAGAGGAGGCCTTTAAGCGTAAAGGAAGTAAGCAGGGGAAATAAGCAGAGGAACTGCCCCGCTCCTAGACCCCTAGGCCAGCTCCATGCCTGCATCCATTCCCAGCACAGAAGATGCTGGAGACTAAAGGCAAAGAAAACTCCTCAGCTGCTGCCACAGATCACAACCACTTGCTCCCTACAGGCCCGTTATGAGACACCCGGCCCTGAGCAAGACTTCATGGTAGCTGCCTTCTGTACACGGGGCAGATAAGATGAAACACCTCGTGGGTGATGCACACCTTTGGTCTGGAGTGACAGCGCTACTTAATCACCCAGCTTGGTGAAATCCCTAAGAAAAAAACGCCGTGCGGTTGCCTCACAAAAAGCCAACTTCAGTGTTAGTGGCACGGGCAGACTGCTCTCTAGAAATGGTACAGGAAGAGGTGTTATGTGGCAGTTTCAGAAAGACAAAAACTTGAAGAAAAAAAAGGATGGCTAACTTAAAAAAAATCCCATGGAAACAACAGAAACTTAGTGGGAAAGTAAAGTGTGACAGGGAACCAGTCCTGAGCCTAAGGGCACAGCATCCAACACGGACAGGTCCCATCCCAGGTACCATCACATCCCTCGGGACTGACAGAGCCGAAGTGTGCTGGGGTCCCCAGCTGAGATTAGCTGATTCACTGCATCTTGTGTGCAACCATTACTGTTTTCTTGCTGTATTTCCAAACTTGATTTCCAAAGTTCAGAGGAAAACAGTCTGAAATTAGTCTGAAAATGCCAGACAGATCGCCAGTGCAAGTTCCTTCTGATTATTTTAAATTGGGGAGAGAAGGAAGGGGAACAAATTAGTTTGGAAAGAAACACATTTTTGTCAGGAAGCAATCCCTTCAAGAACCCAAACCAGACGCAGTTTCTGCTGCCAAAAGCTCCCATGTGTAGAAGCCGTGGTGCAGCCAACATCCTGCTGCTTGCGCGTTCTCCGCAGTCCTGAAATTAGCACGGTCTTTTCGGGGCTGACAAAGCCAAAACAACAAAATAAACCCCGGCATTTCTCTGCGGCGCTGGGTTAGTGAATACCAGCCAGCGGGACTCAAACAGCCAGACCTATCCCATGGCATGCAATTTTTTTCATTTTCCACAGCAAGCAGCTCTTGTAGCAGACTTTCTCCTATTGCCGCAGTTGGCCTTGAATCACTACCAGGCTTTTAGTGACTCTACCTAATTACACCAGCCTTCACGGAAATGTAATCATACTAGCTGAAAACCCGTGTGAGACAAAGGACAGGGCCCCAGAGCAGCGTGTTTGGTGCTGATCTCATGGGGAGATGAGTGGGCTGAGCCCCCCCAAGGCCCCATACATTCTGCCTGCTCTCATTTCGAGGACAGCTGAAGGTGAGGCTCCTTCAGAGAGATCCAGCATCGCTGGGTAAGGCCAGCCATGAACCAATCTGCCTGCACACCCTCTTACTAGCCCCAAAGGGCATTTTTCAGAGGAACCTAAAGAAAACAGATATCCACGTCTCCATGCCTGGCAGCTAAGCCTAATTTGCAGTGTCTCTGTCTCTAGCTGCTTTATTTCTGGCATGGACAAACTGATCACCACCCCAGGGGGTGCCCAGAGAGTAGAGGGCATGTTGTGTTACTGGGAAGCAAGTCTTATGCACGGGTTGTAGAGCAAGCAAATAGGCCTGGTTCTCCTTTTGTAGGAACTTGGGGGGCAGAGGGGACAAGCCACAGAGACAACAAAATACCCCACTCCTTGCTTTGGCCACAGCCTTGCACCATCCCTCTGGGTGATGATCAGATTTTGCAAACACCTCCCATTGAATCAAACACGAGAGCATACACAGGTGCCATTTAGGTACTACAGGGTGCATTAAACACTCCTGGCTTGATCCACCACAATTCCCCCTGGCTGCATCACACTCCTACCAACTGAACTTACCCACGAGCCTTACCAGGAGCTGCATTTGTCACACGAAACCCACAGGTCTACTGCCTTCTCCTACAACAGACCTCTCAACACACAGCCATAGGTAATAATTGTGCAAAAGAGGCATTCTTGGCTGGAGGCACGGGAAGCCAGCTCCGCAGATAAATCCGGCTGCAACTATCGGGAATTTGGCACATAACTCAGGGAACAGGACCATTTCCTCACAGGCTGGAGAGATCAGCAATGTATCATCTTCTCTCATGCGGCTACATTTATGGAGGTTTATGTGGATTTAACTCTGCATATCAGGGAAAATGTAGTGCCAGCGATGAAATGCCAACGCAAACCTACCGACAGGAAAATCTCCTTCCAGCAGTGGAGATACTGGCAGCAGCCTTCGCAGTGCAACAACAGTAAACAGCGCTTAGGACCACAACACCCACTGATCTGTATTACACAGGTGCCTTCAACAGGTGTCGTTCTGCCATCCTCTGATTCTCCTCCAGAAGATTTCCTGCCACATCCATCAGCAGCGAGCAGCAACCCCAGCATGCCTTTATTTCTTCTCCTTGAGATATATCTGAGCAATTTGTTTAACACTTCAACAACCCAGTCTAATTACCAGGACAGGTATCTGATGAAGTGCAATGCAATCACACTCTCACTGCTGGCTGCCAAGCCTGTGCACATACACCTGGGTAGCAAGAACCAAACAGAGCCCTGCTCCATCTAGCATTTTTCTGCTCTGCAGCGATGATCTGCCAATCTCCATCTAGCTGTTACTCTGCACATCGCACCAGATTTCCTGGCTAAGTCTGGTCTGGAAGGAGAAGGCAAGTACTGGCTCCAGTGATCTGGCAGCACAAACCTCATGGTCCCAAATGCCACTGGTTTCCATTCCTGGAAGGGCTCCACGGCAGACAAGTGCCACTGGAGGCCCTAAATTAAATGTCAGGAAGCAAGCCAGGTAGGCAAAGGGAGAGAACCCAAAACACAGAGCATATGAGAGACAAGGAGAGAAAGGAAACAGAGGTGGGGGGTGGTTTCTGGGTCTTAGAGAAGCTGTGTGATGTGCCTGGTGTGTTGCTGTGCACAGAAGGAGCAGTAACCATGTTCTTTTTCTCCCATCACACTTCCAAGTGACAGAGGATAGCGGCAGCTCCTCGCCTGCCTCTGTCATGGCACAGGGCTTTGCAGTGCCCCGTCTGCCTGCCCCCAAGGCAACAACTCTTTTCTCCCTCTGGGCTTCCAAATGGATGGCAGGCAGCTCCCAGCCCTGGACAAAGGAACGAGCCTCTCTGCGTGATCTGTCTGTCTGCACAAACCCAATGACACGGTGTGCGATGACATCTCAGCCCTACCTTGTTAGAGAAGCAGTGACACTGTACCGTATGTCACCAGCCTGAGTCCAGCATCACACTGAAGAACTGAATTTCCTGAAGTCACTCAAAACAATTTTCTCAAGGGAACTGCAAAGTTTAGGACATTTTAAACCACTGGCATTTGGAATCCAAATTAACTCCTAGGGATTGCCCTTTCCCAACAGGAGAGGCAATCGTATTCCTTCTGGTTTAGTGGGTAGATGCACTGAAATGCAAAGAAGTGGTGGGACCTCCATGTAGCTTAATGTAAAAGAAAATGGAAAAAGCCACAAATGCTAAGTGTGTCCTGCTGGAAGGAAACATGTTGAAGACTGCAGTGATTATATCCTGTGAGACACAACCTCCCCCCTCCACCCCACACATTTGAAGAGGCCACAGCCCAGCCCTCCACACTGGGGACTTCCACCCATTTCAACAGGAGGCCCGCACCGAGTCTGACTGGCTTGGGCTCCCCCCCCAGACATTTCCCCGGGTTGAAGATCCACTTACCTGCCTGGTTTGTGGTTACATTTACAGAAACAAACTGCCGGGCTCCTGGGTTCTGGTCGGACACTCCATTCACTGCCTCAATTTCAAAGGTATAGTTTGTATGAGCAAGCAGATCCACCATCATGACAGAGGTGTTTTTCAGGCCGGTTTGCTGGGGGAGGTACCTGACATGACCGCCACACGCCTCGCACAGACCTGAGTGTGAGTTGCACTTCTTGCATGCAATATAATAAGACACATCTTTCCTTCCACCAGTATCAGCAGGGGGAATCCATTCCAGAAAGACACTAGTCTCGTTAACATTTGAGATGGCACTCCGAGGAGCAGAGGGGGGTCCTGGTTTGTAAAGCGAGAGAAACACATGGTAAAAACAGTATTATCAGTCATCCTGCTCTCTACTACTCTCTAGGTTGCACGGAGCTGCCACGTTGCTCACGTGCCAAAAAGCACGCGGGGAAAATTTTCAGCAGCAACCAAAAGAACGGGAAGATGGGGATTTGAGCATTCCCACCTTACCTTAAAGGGTCTGTGTTGGGACACAGTCATCTGCAAGGGAGGCTGAGACACAGGGCTGGCTCAAAACCAGCAGGAGCAGCGCATTTCACACCAGGGCATTGCCTCTGGTGCCTCTCCTTGTTCTGCTTGCTAAGCGAGCTGCAAATCTTTGCTCTGCCCAAGTCATGTTGGCTTAATGGGGGGCAACATTCCCCCTCCTTACCCCATCACTAGCTCTGAATCCTTAAAAAAAGACACACACCGATGTATCCCCACTGCTTTGGTACTCAATTCCAACACTGAATCCTTCCCTCCATCCACCTGCTTCTCCCTATTAGCTCTTTGGCAAGAGCAAAGCCTAAGCCTGGTCATCCAAATCACACCTAAGCGAGACACTCGATGGAGCCCAAAACAGATGGTGATCTACACGGGCCACCGCAAGCACAGCCGTATCTGGCTACTCCACGGCAGCCGTCTTGGTCCCTGCCAAGCTCCGAGCACCAGCACGGTTGGTTAGCCTCACCGTGTTCGCTTATTTTGCCAAGCCTCCCCTCTCAGTATGCCAGCATGGCTCTGGCAAAGCTATCTGAGGAGGAACGGCTGCTGCAGAGGTATCCGAGCCCCCGCAGATGTGGCCTGCTTTCCTTTACCCTGCTGGGAGAGGCCACAGCTGGGCAAAAAAAAAAAAACAAAAACCACAAAAACACATTACACACTGAGGCCACGGTTTCTAAAAGCGATTCCCAGTTCAGCAGGTGGCTGTGCTGCCCACCTGGAGATACCCTCAAGACCACTTATTTGCTTATTTTTTGACATGCACCTTTCCAAAAGCCAGGCCCTTGCTTGGATGCCTGCACACCTGAACTGCTCGCATCTCACTCGATGGCTTTGCGTTAGAGAAATCTGCCCCTTTGGGGAGGGAAAGGGAAATACTGCCCCGAAGATGTTTTAAGAAGCTGTTTGTTTTAATAGACTTGTCTTGGAGATGAAGGGCTGGCTGCAGATACACCCTGAAGACAACGTGGAAGGACAGCGAGGACCTCATGCAAGAGCCTCGCACGGGGAAATTTATCAAAGAAAACTGGGATGGATTTTAGCCACAGCATCACCAGAAGCTATACAGCACAGACTGGGATTTTTCCAAAGAAAGTAGAGGAGCGAAGGCAACATCCTGCCATCCAGTTCGCATGAAGCTGTCAAAACCCATGAGTAGCTTCTTGATATGTGCCCGTCAGCTAGCTTCATCAGCTAGCACCCCCTACAAATTTAACAGCCTGTCTTAGGCGGTCGTCTTCTAGTTTTGTTGTGATAATTTAACTCCATTTGTTACTTAAAATGGGCAATGTTGCAAAACCGAAGCTACCTTATAAACTAGGAGCATTTTTCCCTGTTTCCCTTTCCTACTCCCCTTTTTAAGTCTATAAAATTGGTAATGGTTATGAAACACTGCGATGATTTCAACTCAAGCTGTTCTGATTCAATGAGAAGCTCACTGCCGGAGGGAAATAAATAATCCTGATATATATATTATTGTCAGGGAAAAAGCAGTCAAAGACAAAAGCTAGGTTAGCTTAGGAAGCAGCAGATCAGCCTTGTCGGAGGCACATTTTGTTCCGTCATCTGTGAATGAAAACTTTGCTAATGTGGAAACGAGGCACGTTGTGGGTTTAGCCCCTGCAGGTAGGGCTGGAAGGGGGTCCCTGCACGCTTACTCACCTCCCAGAGAGGCAGATGCAGAGAGGAAGGTTCAGGAAACTCTCTGCCTGCCAGCTATCTGCGCACACACGCTGATTTAATGTTGACAGCCTACTTGCTTACATCCCTAAAATGAAGCACGGGCTCAGGTCTCTGCAGGTTGGAGGACCTGGTGCTCAACTGCGGCCGTGCCAGCAATTCCTAACTGAGCCGGGACGGTCTTTGGAACGAGGACTACAATTACCCTCCAGATAATGGCTTCACAGCACTATAAAGGGGGAACAAGCATCCATTCGCCAGGCACGAAGACACTGGAAGGAGCTGACACATCCTCGGGGCGGAGAGGGCTCTGCCACCAGGCTGAGTGTTTCCACAAGCCCGCCTCTCGCAATCTGCACCTCAGGGGTCCAGCGCTCTTCAGCTAATGACACCGCAGTACAGCAGAAGGCAGAACTATTTTCTGTCCTGTCACACTCACACTGCTATAATGGAAACTATGAAATTCATCGCGGGAGCTGTGTGGAGTTATATACATTGCACTCAGGGTTGTGTTTTTTTTTTTTTACTGGTTAAATTGCCCGATTTTTTCTTCCACTGGATGAATGCACTTTTACTGCTACCAGTACTCTAAGAGGAAAATAAAGAACTCAGGCACAAAAAACCACTTATTGGACAACGTGTCTTTAACAGAGGATAAATTATTACTTTTGCAAAGTCACCAGAGGTTTTTACTTGCTTTGTACAGCTGCTCTTCTTGAAGGTTTAAAAACATCAACTTCAGTGGAAATGCTTTGAAGCTAGCGGGACTTCATAACCTATAAAATTAGCATTCTCAAAGGGGCTCTGAGAAAGGTCTTTAGCAGTCTGCAGATATCTAACAAGACCTACTTGAAGAATCCTGAAACCACATATGGGTAAAACTTTGAAAAATCACAGCTGGGAGAAGAAAACGGTGTTTTAGCTCCCAAAGAGGAGGGGCCCTAACAAGGTCTCTTTTCATTGCCAAACCTCCCTTTGTCAAGGACGAATATATTCATTCACTGTTTTTTTAATTTATTTATTTATTTTTTTGCTACTTTATGGCCTAAGAAGGCAGATTCAACATTTCTGCAGCACGATCCATTGACCAAAAGCAAATCATTTCTGATGATAAAGGTATTGGTGTTTTTCTCAATGGACAGCAAACCTGTTGTTGGCTGACATGCACATGTAAAAAAATAACCTGAGAAAGTTCCCCTGAGATACTAATATATATTTGCACATGCACACACAAACTCTAAAGTAACCTTTGAGAAGAGAATATACCAAACACTACAAAAACATCAGTGTCCCACCTTGTCCTATTCCCTCTGTGCTCTTTGTGCCATTCCCTTTTATTCATATTTCCCCTGTATGCTCTGAACTGCAACAGGACTCTTCGCCAGAGATGAGAGGGGGGAAAAAAGTGTAACTTTGATGTTTTCATTTTAAATTGATATTTCGCAAGAACTGAAGCTAGGACTACTAAATTAAGAAGAAATCAAGCTCAACTATTTCCTGGGAGATGCATAACAATACTAAAAATTCTCAAATGCCTGGCAGGACCAAACATTTTTTGTCTGATGGCAATAGTTTATTTGGACCGCATTACAGGAAATAACTAGGAAAAATTAAATAAACATATATTTGTCTTTTTCCCCCACTGTGCTCATCTGTGCAGTTGACAGTGGTTTAGCAGTTTTGTTTAGCAATGCTGGTGATGGTGGTGAGACCATTGCAGTTTGGGACTGATAAACTTTCTCTCGAAATTAGGAAATTGTGATTTTATAGTTGCACCAACCGCACGGAGACTTTGCAGGTACAGAGCCGAAAACAAACACTGATGTGTTCTCTAAAATTAACTAGATTTCAAGTTGAGGAAACCCTATGAATATTATTAACTTCTGCTGTAATAAATAATGAAAACATTCACAAAACTTGCAGTATTTTCCTACCAGTCATGACTCAAACCTGTCTTGCTTGTGCTTCAGTTCATGACAAGATGTTCCCTTGCAACTCTGGTCGTGTTGGGTTTAAAATGTTAGTGTTGCTACCTGCTATTCGCTGTCCCTGTTGAAATGTACTACGCCTGCAGCTGAAATGGAGTAACACACAGGCTTTCCTCACCACCTGCAGCAGAACTACAGCTGAATGAGGACAAAATCCCAAGGAAGGATGCTTAAGACAAGTGAGAGTGGCTTAACACTGAAACGCATGGAGAGGGCTCAAATGATCCACCTTGCTTTCGGGGTAGCAAGCAGGAACACCAGCAGAGCTGCTTCAATATCCTAAAATGCTGTACCAGCTTGCTCTGTACGTGACACAGCAGCACGCTCCGGAACAGTGGGTGACAGAAGCAGAGCAGTGCCTGGGTCAGCATTAAACCTTTCATCTGCCTCAGAAGCACTCGGTGTCCTGCCACGCCACGTCCTAATAGAGCTTCACACACCATGCCTGGACTTTAAACAAGCTTACAGTAAGCTTTCAAAACAAACAAAAAGCAAAGATTAAACCCCCCAAACAAAAGCTTTAAAAAAATAAAAATAAAAACCAAGCAAACAACAACAACAAAAATCAACCTCACAATATTTGTGGCATCATAAAGTACAGCCTTTACTTATAGGATTCAGGAAACGTGGGAGAAGGGCACTCATATTCCTCCGTGTTTTATTATGTGCTCGTCATCAAGCATGGTCGTACCCCTGTGAAAATCCCACCCTATGCTCAGGTCACAGGCAAGTAAGCACAAACCTCTTCCTCAGGGGCGGCAGCTTCTCCTCCGTGCTAACTCACCAGCGGGGTGATTTGGCATAACCCCTGGCTTTGGTTCTGCCTAGGCAAAAAAGCTGATTTGGGGTGGTTTTTCAGAGTCCCCCTCCCTTCCCATTTCTCAATACCCACACTGACTAGACATCTTTCTCATTGATCTATGTGCTTTAAAGTCTTGCCATGAGGCAAAACAGACATCAGGAAGCCCTGTTGTCACAGTTTCTCGTGCTGTAGCCCATCCCAGTCACCGCTCTCCGAGACACTAGTACATGTACTTAATAAGCTGAGGAGTGCGTGCACGACTCGCCCCCCACCAACACCGCTTTGATCATAGCTGCACTGCCTCCTCCTTCCCTGCAGCACACCTTCACCAGCCACGTGCTTCAAGTTCCTTTGGCTGATGAAGGGTAAGCCCTGCATTCAAGGGTCCCAACTATCCTACATCTTCTGTGCCAAGAGCCCCTTCCAGGGGAGCAGAGAGCTGCTGAGGGCAGGCTCCTCCGCAAAGTGACTCTCCAGCAGGAACAGACTTTTTCTTCCCCTTTTCTGAAGTGCAAACCTGGGCAGCTAGGAAGGACAGCTGTATTCACTGGGAAAACACTCAGCAGGACTAGCTGGGGGTCTACAAACTGAAGCCCTGAGTAAAATAATATATTTCAAATATTTTTTTTAATAAAAAAAAATTCAAATACAAATTTGAAATATATATATTTGAAATATAAAGCAAACAGAACAACCAGCCTTCAAGTACAGTTGAGAGGATAGCTCACAGATGGCAGCAAAAGGGCCATGCTAGTGGTTCCAGTTCTACCTCCCAATCCCCCAGCTTGTTTTTTATACCCTCCATCCCCTACACCAGGGGATAAGCTCTACATTTTTGCTGCTGGTTTGGAGAAGCATTTTACCCTGTGAAGCTTTGAGGCTACCGTGACGAATAACCTCCTCCAGGCAGCTTGGAAAGGTAGGGCTCTCTCCCTGCTGGTCTACTGAAAATGAGCTACTAGATGATGCTAAGCAGGACCATATCTACTCTACCTACAGCTACGGTAGACAAGCACTACTGGAGCTCCTTCCATACGTGTGTGGGACACCGGTACAGGTCTGAGCGCAGTGCTGCTGGCTGGGAATGCCCCCAGTGTGATGGTAGAGCAGACTGTGAGAGAGAGATGGAGCATCATCTGCTCCTTTCTTAAATGCTTCCTGGGTTTAACGCCAGCTTTCAAAGCAAAAGGCCTGAGTCTGTTCTTGGAACTTGGGGTATGGTGGGCAAAGCCAGCGAGGTTGCAAGTGTGTCAGACTAACTCCAGCTGAAGCCCAGAGCCTGGAAAAGCACATTAAGATCATAACGTCTAGTCACAGTAAAAGGAACAGCTCAAAAGGATTAAAAACAACCCTCTAAGCACATGCTTACTTGTACAGGCCATTGTAGGTGGGTCTGATTCCCTCCTAAAATAGTGCTCTTCACACAGGCAAGATGTGGATGCTTCATCAAGCGTGTAGCTGTGAGGGGGACATTTGCTGCAGGATGGACTGTGGGGTGAAGCTTTGAAGAACCCAGGTCTGCATACTGTGAAAAGAAGAACCACAGGCTAAGCTCTCCCATCATAAAAAATTAGTCTCTTCACATTTCCTTTTAAAAACATGTCTTCAGCTAGAAAGAAAACAGACAAACACTCGCAAACTATTTGGTTTGAATATTTTAAAACAAGTCTACCCCACTAATAAACAAGGCATGCTTAAATATCCGCCTGAAAAAAGAATGAGAATCTGTTGACTGCCTCTCCCCTAGCATCTGCCTTTGCTGGGTATTTATTTCCTCTGTTAAATGCATGAGAGGTAACATCTTTTGGCTCTGCTTTAGAAAACATTATTGTGTTTGGGTGGTGTTTTTTTTTTTTCATTCAGGCTTAGAAAAACAGGTAAAATACATCCTGTGGTTTTTGTTTAAGATGTTCTATACCCAGAAATCAATGTCTCAGCAAACAAATAACAATACAGTGGTTGAGGGAATCTCGAGATTGACAGTTTTAAGACATTGTGATAAGGCTACTTCCCTAGGGTTTTTTCCCCTGAAAACCTGTGATGAATTTTAAAGTACTTTATATAAGACAGATTGCTCTGGGTACAGCCTGGGAAGCATGCTCGCCGTCCAAGATATTCCTTTCAGCTCCAATATATATGCATGATGAAGTTCAAAGAGTTTATAAGAGAGATATTCATGTTCTTACAAAAGCAATATATTGGCTAAGGCTAGCTTAGGATTTTTTTTATTATTATTTATTTTGATAATTTGAACGGAATACAGTAATACCTTTTTTTACCAGCCTCTTGGAAAAAGCACTCTTTCACCTAAGCGAAGATCGCTGCGCTTACTCACCGGTGTGTGCACACAGCGACAAGCGGTGACAGCGAGAGGTTTGCATTTATTCACCTTGGCTTTAGAAAAAAAACAAACGGACCTGTAATTATGCAGTCGGATGCATAATTACAAACCCGCAGCTACCGGGAAGAAAAACAAAGCACGGATACATCCATGGCTGGCTATTTGGACAAACAAAAGTTCCCTGGAAATCAGTCTTTCCATCTGCATTCAGACTTGCCTGGTGGCAAAGGAGAAGTGCTCGCAGCAAACAAATTAGTACTGTCCCACTAACAACGCCCCAGGCAGCCACAGCAAGGTCATGTGTTAAAATGCAGCCAGAAGACATGAGGAGAGTTCATCTTCCCTATAAAGTGCAGGTTTTTACTGTTAATCCCTTTTCCTCCGAAGGACCAAGTAAGATGCTGAACTTGGCAGTACTTCCTGCAGTACCAGAGCCTCTCTCTTGACATCTCCCCTTTCACATCACTAGCTTCTTCACCAAGAGGTCAAGACAGACTCTAGCACCTCAACTCGTAACGAAACCATGCACTGCTCTGTTTGACGCTGAAGCTATTCTGATTTCAGCTCTCCACAGCACAGGGAGAAAATCCCTTGGAATCAACCAGCAAGTCTCTGCTGATGAAGACCACTCGTGGCATGATCCAGGAGCACCCAATAAACCTCCTCAGACCCCACCTCCAGTTTCGCCTGGCCTGAAGCAGTTTCCCTGCTCACCACAGGCTACAAGGTCTCAGCCACGTATCTGCTGCCGCTCCATCCCTGCTCCTCTGCCCACAAGACGTGCAGAGAAAACCTAAGGGAAATAGGTGAATCTAAAGGTTTTAAAAAACGAACCTCCAAAATGGCTCACAGCCAACCACTGCTTCACATCCAGACCGTGAGCCCTGCAGGACACAGTCCATATTTTGTGTCTGCACCTGGATGGCTAAATTTATTCCAGATGATTGCTAAAGGACTTGCTGCAAGCTGTCCTCGTGTTTTATGGTATGTTCCTCAGTTTCTTACACGAGTTCACTTATCTATTAGCTTCACGGCTACCTTCAGATGCTGCCCTACCTGCACAGCAGGAATTGTTCTGTACTCCCCGGAGAATCTTCCAGGAGAGGAGACCACCAAACAGCCCCTCTTTGGCCTGCAATTTCTAAATCAAAGCCAAATCAAAACTCACTTGCACACACAGACAATAGACGTAGGGAAATGAAAGCACAAAAACATGCGATATATAACGAGGGCAGCCCACGTCTAGTGTGTACTCGATGTAATTAGCCTTCAAAAAAGGACTTGAATTTATCTCATTATGTACCATCAAGACAGACAGAAAATCATTAAATCATTATGGCACAAGAGTTTCCTGAGCTTCTATTGTGTGCAAAGCAGCACCCGCAGAGCAAGCCAGTTTTCCTCAACAGCTTTTCAGCAAGGTGCAGTTTGTTACTGGTGGTGTGATACATAGCTCAGTTTGCAGGGAATAATGCTTTGTTTTCATGAAGAAGTACACGCCAACTGATTTACAACACCAATAATCCTCGTTTTCATGAGGGATGTGGAATCAAGATGAACTAGACCAGCTGAGGGGAGACCTCATGGTGGCCTTGGTGACAGCACGGAGATGGGACAGGGGAGGGTCAGGCTGGGGGTTAGGGAAAGGATCTGCACCCAGAGGGTGGTCAGGCACTGGGACAGGCTCCCCAGGGCAGTTGGCACAGCACTGAGCCTGCCAGAGCTCAAGAAGCTTTTGGACAACGCTGTTAGACACATGGTTTGATTTTTGGATGGTCCTTTGTGGAGCCAAGAGTTGGACTCGGTGATCCTGGTGGGTCCCTTCCAACCCTGGCTATTCTGTGATTTTATGTAATCTGAAGGCTCCCATAGGTCAGATATTTTGTAAACTGGATTTGGAGCAAAATAGCCTGAATTCGGGGACACCAACAGCCCGTGCCTTCCATGCACGTACCTTGGATTTTGATCCGTTATCATTCCACTTCTGACAGTCAACCTTAAAGTCTCCTCATGAAGTATACATGATTTTATTTAAAATTACATGGGTGTCTGGGGTTTAATTTCTAATTAAATCTTATTTTAGTCTTATATTTTTATCTCAGTATTTCTAATTCAATGGTTCTTCAAAGGCTACAGAGAACTAGCACAGAACGGCCATTCATTTAATAGCGTTCTCTCTCTTCTCAAGGGGCTGGGAAAAGGAGGAGAAATAAGACAAGCCTAAATTTCCCCATAATCTGCTGGAAGCCAGCTGACAAGAAATGAAATAGTTTCAGGTTGTTAATGACATCTGCTTCTTTCTTTCTAATATTAAAACTGATAACTCCTTAACTGATTAACAGCTGCCGACGTGTGAAAATAGTCTCTAAATGAAATTTGTTGCTAGAAAAAAAAAAGAATATTTTTAGATGCAGCAAACATGCCATAAACAACCTGCTGGTGTTAGGTGGGACGTGTTTCTGTTAGTAGCGCATCCATTATCAGCAAATTCATTTCGCTTTTTATTTTTAGTAGCAACCACAAAACCTTGCAGGCATAGAGCTTTGACAGCCGTGCAACCTCTGGCTGCCAGCACACTTTGGGACAGTCCAGCAAGGGATCACTGCAGGCAAGGACAGCAGCAGGAGCTCCTTGGGACAGCAACGGCATGAGCTGATTCCTCAAACTGGCAGAAACTGGGTCTTATAACTTGTATGGACAGGGGAGGAATCACTGGGACTCTGACAAGACAAGCTGCCTTCTTCAAACAAGACGCTTAACTTTTATGTACTAGAGACTGCAAGTAGCTGCGAGTGGGAAAAAGTCGGCAGAAGCAGCCAGTAACATCAAACAGCTGGTACTACTTAACAGAGATTATCTTCTGCAAGCCTTAACATCAAATGATTTGCAGCTGCAGCTCTGTAATCATCCCCGAGCTGCAGCTGAAGGCTACAAGCAACGTGCAGGGCTTCCTTCCTCTTTGGCTGCCCCATGCCTTTGGGGCACGCTGGCCCTAGGCGGTGGCACCCAGCAAGCACTGGAAGCAAGGACACCACCTCTGAGCATCTCTGTGCACCCAGGAACTTAACACGTACGTGGCCACATCCGTAAGAAGCATCACCTTCAATGCAAGGAGCTCTCAGCTATCACAACATCAAATTAGTATTATACTGAACTCAAGCCTTGTTCCCTGCAGGGAGAAAAGCTGAGAAACAACCCCATGAAGCCTTGAAATCCCGGGAGAGATGAGAAAGGTCCAACCTATTACTCCCTTTGCACTCCTCTAATTCTGGAAGGGTAAGCTTGCAGTACTTAAGTGCTTCAGATCAGCAAAGTGACCTTTCGTATATCCCAGAAAATCAAGCTCAAACAGGACTTACCCCTTCTCCCTTGCAGAGTACCAAATTAGTCTCCGAGGTAATCAGAAACCACCAATATAACTCATAAAGCAGGGCCACTAATCCATAAAGCTAAAGAACGGAATCTATGAAAAATGAATGAGGATAAGAACGTCTGGTCTAAACAGAGCACACGTTATCTAAAACCTCAGTTTCCTTCCCAAACTACCTCCTGCCCAGGAGCAAACCACAAACTCCTCCAGTTTCTCTCTCCCATGCTTTAGACCGATTTGCCTTTTCAGACTGCAAACTTCCTTGGGCTGGGCCCATCCACGTACGTGCAGGGAAGTGGAGCAGAGCTTAAATTATCACGGCTTTTAGAAGGGACCACGGCATGAACACACAGAAAACTCTGCCCCACAGATAAAACTGAGCTCTGCAATCCAGGCCTGAAACACCAGGAGGATGTGTTATGTGTGTTCAGCAGAAAGGAGAGCGGCTCTGTAGCTCATCAACTCTGCCTTCATTAGCACATCACTCCAGCGCAGGGAATATGCCCTGAGAGTTGAAGGATTTGAGCAAAAACAAGCTACAAATAAACCGAGCCCTGCTCCAGTCTCTGGAGCTGCCGTGCCTTGAAGCGTCTGCACCGAGAAGAGGGGCTTGCTGCCTCTTAGATGTGTCCAAAACCTGAAAAAAAAGGGTTTAGCGAGGTACGTTCCTTACAATGTGGAATCAATTAAACTGCTGAGTGGCTCCGAGCCTCAGCCTGTGCTCCTGACATGCTCTTTTACTTACCAGACAAAACAAAACAAAAACACAGCAGACTGTCTTCATGTTTCCCAGCGAATATAAACAGATGATCTC